CTTCCTTCTTGTGCAATTTAATGTGTACTCCTGGTTCCCCACGGAACGAATCACGCGCCGTGCGTCAACAGTGCTGGCAGAGCAAAAAATACCCGACTGTTCAAGTCAGCGTTTTAGTGGGGTGGCCAGCATAGCATCAGCCTCCAGCTCCTGAAATTGCGTGCACGTGGTGCAACCTGCAACATAGGTGCGCCGATTACAGGCATTAAACCCAGAATCACACATACCATAAAGAGCAACAGTGAGCACCTTAATGATGTGAAGAAGGGTAGGCTTGGCCCACACCAAAATAAGTCAGGCAAAAGTGAGGCAGTTAACTGAATGGAATTTAAATCTTCCGGTAGGAGGAGGAGGAGGAGACTCACATGTATTGAAGCGTTTGTAGGCGATGCAAATTGTTCGAAGTCCATCGCCGGCCATCACCTCGATGAGGGACTGGGTGAGGACCTCTTGGTCAGCTTCAGAGAAGGGTTTCGGTTTGCCCTCAGCATCCAAAATCCATTTGCATCTAAGTGCAAAGGAAAAAAAAAGCAGATTAGTTTTGAGTAGAGAGCATAGAAAAGAAAAGCACACAGAGAGCAGTCACCTAATTTATGCCGGTAGAAAGTGTCAACCAGGAGACCAAGTTAAAGGCCAATTACTGACAACTTTAGATCGTAGTTGTGAATTAGAGGAATGAGGGAGACTCTAAAATCGACAGAATCAATAATAGTGACGAGTTTGCCCTCTCATGCAATCTGTGCGACAAAAAGCGTTTTTTAGGGGGTTATGCTGCCAAAAATGCCAAGTGTTAGAAGGAAATTAGAAAACCAGGACATGCGGAGGGCTGTCTTGCCCACAAAAGTGCCCAGATGGAAGACTATCGCCTCTCGCTTTGACCATGACCATCAATTAATGTCAGAAGAAAAAAAGATTATTAGGCTAACGACCACAAAGCGGAAAAACCCTGACTAATTCCGGTACTTTTCAAATTTGCCTCCTCGCAAAAACGGTGGCGAACCTCAGTGAAACAAGATTGGTTAGCCCCATAAAAACATTCTGGAATTTTAAAACGTATGACAATCTCCCTCCATGGAAATGGGAAGCAAAGAATGAGGAAACGAAAATAGGGAAGGGGGACGATAGGGAGGAGCGAAAGATAAAGGACGGCGAAAAGGAATGAAAACAGTGAGGTATGCTGAGTGAATTATAAGAGAGAAAGTGGAAGGGATAGGGCAAGAAATAAAGAGGACGAAATGTTAGTGGTAGAGGAAATCGGAAGGAAAAAGAGTACAAGACCAGGAGGATGAACAGAAGATCTTACCCATCGGACTAACTACACGAAAGCCGACGCTTTTGTGGATATCAGATATAAGGGTGACCTTCAATATGCGGTACTAAGAAATAAGCAAGCCTTTTTGTTTGACAAATGAGAAATCGTGGACCAGGAATCAGGGCCGCAATCTGGCACACGGCTGATTTTTCAAGCTTACGCAAATAACACTGATTCAACTCCGATATGATGCCTGCAAGCACCATTAAACAAGAATAGTTGCCATTGCTGGCCGCACGGTTCGGTTCTTGCGTCGAAGTGCTGGGGGAAACAACACCTAAACAGCCATCAGTTAAGGACGAGTGATAAGATAAAGTGTTGGAAATACCATGACATAAATATCATTGACATTACTGGAAAGGTCTTCGCTACTGTCATTCCAAGGCATGATTTTAAGATGAGACTTCCTCAGACTGACTTCCGAACTGTACGTGCATACTTCGGCCAAGTAAGTACACTGTGCTGAAATCTGCAACCGAGAGCCGTCTTCTTCGCTGATACCGATGTAGCATTCTACTCTGCTCAAAAGCAGTCCACCTGGAGGACAATGGAGATGTAGGGCATGCAGGTAGAAATCATCGATGTGATTAAGACCAACTCTCGCATCCTTACGTATGTCCTCAAAGAGCACCCTTTAGTCTTTCGATATTTCCCCCAATTGGCTTTGTCGGTGTCAAGTATCCGATTGGACACCGGTACTAGACTAAAATATACTGATGATACAGCTGTTCTAATCCTAACCGATAATGTACTTCAGAATGCCATGACAAATGTGAACGAGTTTAATAACTTGTTCGACACACCCACCAACACTGGGAGAAGCGGAGCGTTTTAAAGCTGACTTTCTCAAAAGGAGGAGGCAATATTTGAAGTCATCGGTTACCAGCTTGAAAAAGTAGACAGCTGCAACAAAATAGGAGCAAAGTTGCTGTTTAACAGATAGAATGAGGACGACATGAAATGTTGAATCGATACCACTTGCACGGGCTTTGTAAGTTTTTGATAGTGTATATAAATCTGTCAACTTTATTATCCATCCACACGAAAAACCGAATCCGGTCGATTTTTAATCCTGGGCTACGCGTGCGCGGGAGGAAGGCGAAAATGAAGGCAGTCGGCTACAGTGGTTTGACAATGA